TTGGGGGAGCTGTCAGTCTTGAGCTCCTTGTGGTTGGAGAACTGGATGTAGATGGGCTGGCCACGCAGCACAGGTGTCACCGAGGTGTAGTAATTGACCATAGTGTTGGCCGCCTCCTCTGTGTTCATCTCGATGAAGGCCTGGTTTTTGCCCTTCAGCATCAGGAGGTTGGTGACTTTCCCAAAGGGCAACCCCAAGGAGATGACCTCGCCCTCTGTGACATCGCTGGGCAGCTTGCGGATATGGATCACTCGGGAGGGGACGCCCGCACTCCTGCTGTCACCTTTGAACTTCTTACTGTCATTTCCATTTGCTGAAAGGGGCAGGGGGGGCTTCGGGTTGCAGTAGGAGTCTGTCCTCCCTGAAGCCTCCTCCCTCTCTGGCCAAGGCCAGAACTCCCATGCCCTATCCTGGAGGGTCCCCTTCCTGCTCCCAGGGAAGCTGGATGAACTGGAAGCTCAAGGTCAGGACTGCCAGGACCCAGTTTTATACACACATCTGCCTCTCTACCTCCAAGAGGAGCTGGCAGTCAAGCATGGCCTAGGAATTCTGTGCCACATCTGGCCTGGGACCTGCAGTGTGGACCCCAGGCCACAGGGCATGAACTGTGGAAGAAGCAAGCTCCAGTCCAGCTAGGACAGGCACAGCACGACCTTAACCAGAGCCACCCCCAGCCAGCAGGCTGGGGTGGGCACTCTGAATGTGGGCTTACCTGCGGAGGCGGAGTTGCTGCTCATGATAAAGGGTCCGTTAGTGACACACGTAGAAAAAAGCTCGTCAGATCCCCGCTGGAAAACAAGAGCAACACCCGAGCTGCACTCCCTCAGAGACCCCTCCTCACACCACCCCAGCCCCACTCAGGAAGGCAGCTGCCCCTGAGCCTGTCTGCTACTCCCCCTGCACCAGGAAGCCCAGGGCTCTCAGTGGGCAGGTATGTGGGCTGCAGGCCTGGGGCAACCCCACTGGCACCCTCACCATGGGCCTGGGGCACATGCCAGCAGCCACAGGGAGGGGACAGACGGCACAGCCCCCCACGCGTCTGCCCACGAGCACACAGCTGCAGCCCTGCAGCAAAAGACTGGCGGGCGTCTCGCTCCCAGCTGAGCTGCTGGCAGCTTCCGGGGAGACAAAGCCGAGCTGCCCACTGTGCTCCAGCCCCCAAGCCTGTCCTATTTTCCAGCTGCCTGAGGAAATCCGACCCTCAGCCTCAGCACACTTTCGCAGCAGTAGAGACACTGCCCCTTTATGCGTCAGGCAGGCAGGGCTACCCCGTGGCGGGCAGAGGGGTGACTGACCAACCCTCAGGAATCACTAGGAGACCGCTCTTCAGTTAGAAAAGCAGTCGTCTTCCTGATGCGGGGCTCAGATTCAAAACGTGAAACTGGAGATGACCTGGAGACAGTCCTTAGATGGGTTACCCAGGAAACGAAAACAGGCCTGAGGACCCGGAGACAACACTACCAGCACCTTGGCACGGCCCTTCTGTCCTTGAAGCTGGCCCACTGCACTCTGGCCAGCCTGTGTTTATTTGGGGGCACTTTGGGTTGGAGAAGGGGATTGCTCCTCCTGCTCCACACAGGACTCATCTCCCCTCCTCCAGACTGCCTACAGAGCCACTGCTCTGAAGGAGACCAGCGCCGACGCCCAGACAAGCACCAGGTCCTGGCCACTGCCCAGTGCCCCCAGGAGCTGTTCTGGAAGTGATCACCCTGCAGACACTCGTGCCTGCTCGCCAGGTCCACTCTGAGACCAGGAAGAAACGACAGCCATGAGAAGAGGCCAAGGCACAGCCCCTGCCAACCCCGCCAGCACCAAGCATCGTACGGAGGCAGCCACCAGGGGCCACCACTCAGACCCTCGGGCCCTGTGTCCACCAAGAAGGCCTACTGGTCCCCAAGGCAGCGTCAGGGCCAAAGAACGATGCAGAACCAAGCAGAGCTGAGGCCCAGGTTTGCGCGAATGAAGTGCAGATCAGGCAAACCCAGGCCCACCTGGGGCTTCAGCCTGACCAGTCCAGTAAGCAAAAGCGGAGTCACAAGAAGGCTCAGGAGGACTGGGGTTGTGCCTGCTAAGTATCAGTGGCCACAGAGTCAAAAGGAGTACCTGCTATGGGCAGGCACTCCTAAAATGTAAAGCTCCACCCACCCACCCCGACACCCACCAGGAAGTTACTCCCTGCCCATGGCACACCCTCCTGGAGGACTAGGGCCATGCTGGGGGCTCAAGGGACATCTTTCACCTGAGCTGCAGGAGTGGGCATAGCTGCACTTCCTCTAGTGGCCTCCTGGCTGTGCCCTAACGGTCTTCCCACAGGCAGGGCAGGCACACCCACAACTGTCTGGGGCCACGGGCTCAGTCTGAGCAGCACTCCACATAACAGAGGCTTGGCCAGGCAGCCCAGGGTCTCCATGGAGGGCCTCTCCCAGCAAATGTGCCTTAGTCAAGCACCTCCTGGGGAGTGCCTTTCCGCTGGCCAGAGGCCTCACACCCCAGAGCCCTGCCTCTATCCTGTCCAGGTTGGCTTTGGTGACATCAGGGAAACCAGGCGCTCTTGAGCAGGAGTGGATGGTCCCCCAGGAAACCTCGAGCAGAGAGCCTCAGGCAGAAAGTGGCTCCCACAGAAGCCAGGAGTTACTTCCAGCCTGACCACACCCAAGTGAGCACTTCAGAGGCCAAGCCCCACTTCCTCACCTGCACTGAAAGAAGACATCTACCTGCAAAGGATCCAATATGTAGCCAACAGCCCACTAGGAAAACTGAAGCCCAGTCCAGGAACACCAATCAGTTGCTCTGCATGCCATAGTAGCCTCTCCAGGAATGAGCCGCAAGAACAGGACAACTCCCAGCTTTGTCACAGCCAAACAGGCAAGTGACACAGCTGCTCTGCTTTGCACACCAAGGACAGGCTGGTCCTCAAGTGGTCGGCTGCTTCCTTCTTAGAGAGCCCTGCAGCTCTGGACCTGGGCCACACCTGACCCACTAAACACCCATCTGCCAGCTGGGCCAGGAGGCTCACACCTGCCATCCTGGCTGTTTGGAGGCTGAGGCAAGAGGATCATGAGTTTGAGGCCAGCCTGGGCAACTAAATGAGACCCGGTTTCAAAACACATCCAACCACCCAAAACTACTGCGTGTGAAGCACCAGTTCCTCCACTTCTTTCTGCGTCACGACATACTGAGATGGTCTCAGGACAAAAATCACCTGATAACTGACAACAAGTCCCCTCCTGGATCACAACGTCAACCAAGACACCCTGCCTCAACTACAAGAACTCTGCGCAATGGACCTCACTCACTCCCACTGCAGTGCTCTGGACACATCAGACAGCTCCCCTCCACAGCACAGGGGCTTTTCTGAATCCAGAGACTGATTCCCAAAGAAGTACAGAGTCCTCAGACTGTTTCACTGAAACACAGAGAGCTGGGAGCCAGACAGTGCCAAACCATCAAACCTGCTGGCTGAGAACTCACACCATGGCCTACACCTTGACAATCTGATGTGGACAGGGGTCAAAAACTCCTGCCTGTAAACTCTACCAGCCCATCCGGCTTGTGAACCAGTAGGAGTTGCTTTAGAAACACAGCCCTCCACTCTAAGCCAGCAGGGGACAGGGCAAGCCCAGAGCTCGGCACAGTGTAACCAAGAAGAAAGTGAGCTGTGCCTACCTTCGTGCCAACTGCTATGTCTGGGACGATGCTGTGGAGAGAAAAGGAGAGAGGTCAGCAAGACGTGCAGCCGGGGGCAGAGGCCGGCCGGGCCAGCCAGGAAGCTTCAAGGGGCTGGGAAGTGAGCGGTCCACTTACTCTCAACTTGAAAGGGGCCACCATTGTCCTTCAGCGCCCCTCCCTCCCAGCAGGACCCCAGGCCCCGCCTCTGGACGGTGCCCAGAGGTAGAGACAAAAGACACTCCCCCCAGAGCGGGGGCTGGCCTTTAAGGTTCAGGGCTGCTGTTTGCTCTCTGCAGACGGAAGCGCGGGGCCAGGGGGCCCGCGGAGCGGTTCCAGTTCGCCAACTTAACAGCCCCAACACCATCGAGTTACTCATCAACCGGCTCCGCGTGACTGGACTTTCTCCTCGCCGCCACCACGGCCAGAGCCGGCGCCCGCGAGCCGAGTCCCGCCGTCCGCCCCGGGAGGGAACCCCAGCCTCCCCACCGGACTGAGCACCGAGGCCGGCTTCGACACACTCCCCGCGACGCAGCAAGGCACCACTTCCCAGACGCGCCGGGAGCGCCGTGCAGCGGCCCCGCCAGCAGCCGGCCCGCGAGGTTGAGCCCCGGGACCCCGCCCGACCCGGGAGAGAGCCCGCGCGGCGGGAAAGGCGCGCGCCCCCGCCGAGGGCCGCGCACGCGCACCGGAGCCCAGGGTGCACGGGCGCACGCGCGCGCGGCGCCGGACGGGGCGTGCTCAGGGACTTCCGCGCGCCCGGAGGCGGCGCATGCGCGCATGGGGGACGGGAAGCGAGTAGGGCCGCACGACGTCGTGGCGGATCGGACAAGGCACACCGGGGCCGCGCGCGCGGAAGGGCGGGGAGAGGGCGCGGGGCAGCAGGAGCTCAGAGCCCGGCGCGCAGAAGCCGGAAGTCCACCAAGAGGCGATCCGGAGACAGGCCTCGGAGCCAGGGCGCGGCCCATCCTTCCCCGCAGCCCAGGTCCCGCGCGTGCCACGCGGACCAGAGACCCCGCGCGCGCACCAGCCCGGGTGGCAGCGGAGAAAGTCCGGGTGGGGACGAAGGAAGGGCCGCAGCGCGAAGAGAATGGCGGGCGCGGCGCGACTTACCCGTCCATGGCACACAGAGCAGACCCGCAGGGGACGGAGTGGAGGCGCCGGAATAGCAGGAACCGACCCAACGGCTCCGAGTTATAGACTCACAAGATGGCGGAGACGCCCGCACACGTCCCCCGCGCGCGCTGCCCATTGGCTCCCGCCGCGGCCAGGGGCGGGGACAGTCCCGCTGGCCTCCGCTAGTGCCTCTCAATGGCCAGGAAGCCGCTCAGGGGGGTGGGGCTGAGAAAGGTAGTAGGCGGCTATTGGAGGGAATGGCCGTCCTTCAGGGAAGAAGGCGGAAACGACCTGTGAAGTAGGGATAGGGCGAGAAAGGGTGGGAGCACGTGATGGCTTTTGAGCCAATAGGCGGCCTGCCACCCGGCGTGGGGCTTTGCGGAAGAAGCCATCTTGAGAGTGGGTACGTGGCGTGTCAGGCGGCGAGAAGCGTGCTTGCCTCCGGCTGCTGCCATCTTTCAAACGGGCAGGGGCCGTACGCCCGCTGCGTGAGGGCAAGGGGAGGTGTGTCGCCATCTTGGAGTCGGGCAGGAAACCTGCAGGGCTCCATCTTGCCTGTGGGCACAGAGCCAAAACGTCGGATTCAAACCGAACCTTTGCTAGGGGACTGGCGCGGGGACCTTGGAACCTGCGGGCACGGCGTGATCCTGGGATCACCGCCGACTCTCCTCAGTTCGCCCCAAAGCAACCAAGTCCGACCGCGAGTGCAGGGGTGGGGAAACTGAGGCCTGGAAGCAGAGTGGGCAGCTGCAGCTGGGGAGACGGGCACGGACGCACGCTCGGCCGGAGTGGAGTCCCGCCCTCCGGGCCCCCGCCCGGCGGGACGCCCAGAGCCAAGCCCGGGCCCCGCGGGAGCCCGCCTGCCCCGGCGCTGCTGCCCTGTTGCGGGCCTGGCCGCGGCCCAGCTGCCTGCGGGCCCGCTGCCAGAGGATTCCAGCCGGGATTAGGGGCGGCTGCCGATTTCCACGGAGGCCCCCCCGGCGGGCGGCCGGCCGGACCCCGGAATCGCTAATCAGGAACGTCCCGGTGGATTTAGGAGAAGCCGCGGTGCACGCCCGTGGATTTGCGCGCCCCGGGACGCCCGTCCGGGCCCTGGCTGGGGCCACCAGGGCCGGCTGCTCGTCTTTGTTCCCTGTGAGGCTGGTGCCAGGGAGGGCTCCACCCTCGCAGACAGGCCGGGGAGGGAGCCCAGGTGGCAGCCAACGTGGGTGGAGACCAAGCGCCAGGCCCAGGTCTCAACCGTCAGAAGCGCACTGAAACTCACTTATGGCCCTCCCGGGCTCCGTGTTACTCGCGATGCCAGCCCACCCCACCTTCAGCGCCCTCCAGGGTTCCCGAGGCCTTTCCCACAGGCCTCGCAGCCAAGCTCCCTCTGCGCCCTCTGCGCCCGGCCTGGGGCCTTCACACGAAGCTGCCGGGCCAGGTGGGGCTTCTCCTCCCCAGCTCCCCTGGAGCTCCTGACCACGTGAGTCAGGCCAGCTTCAGGTGAGCTCTGCCAGGGACTCGAGAACAGGATGCGAGGGGTGGCCTTGTGTCTCCTGCCACCCAGAACTCCGCAGGGAGGGGGCCACCAGCCACCCTGATCCAAATTCCAGGTGACTGCTCCTCACTAAGGGAGGGCAGGCAGGTCCTGGACTCTGGTAGCCTGGGTGAAGCTGGACTCAGACCAAGTGCCAGGGTCCTGTTCTGTTTTTGGTCCTAGGAATGTGACCCACCAAGTCACATCCTCAGCCCTTATTTTGCCCAGCTGCCGCCGGCACTGGCCTGGAACCTGTGAGGCTGCCTCAGCCTCCTGCATCACTGGGGTGACAGGCCACCATGCCTGCTCTCGGTCCCTCCTATGGACTGTTGGCATTGCAGTTAAGGGTCCACCTGGTGACCCACAAGTGGCCTCATCTTGAGGCCCTAAGTTGGGTCTGCAGAGACCTTTCCCGTGCACGTGTGCTCACGCCTGTGGGGGACGAGAGTGGACGGGGCTGTTTGGAGGGAGGCACCCTCAGCACCACTCCTCATCCCAAGCTCCAGAGTGGGAATGGGCTGTGGCTGGCCCTCCATCATGGCAGCGGGGGCCAGGACCAGGGCCCCAGGTGTCCTCCTAACTGGACGGGCCTGGACAGGACCAGCATGGGACCAGCCCTTGCACAGATGAGCTGGCCTGGTGCAGAGCATGGAGGCAGATTGTAGGACTGCTGTCTGCACCTAGTGCATTCGGCCTGCTGGCCCGGCCTGACCAGCTGCTGCCTTCATTAATGATTCAGGGTCCGGACCAGCTCACCTTGTCTTTGAGAGTGCGGCGGCATGCTTGTCACCACAGGAAGACGATACTGTCCTCCTCGCGGGAGGGTGCACCCAAGGCCCATCAGGAGCCACTCCAGTTCTTACAGGGAGAGAGAGGAGCCATGCCTCAGTTTTCCCTTTCACCAAAATGAGGGCCGGGGGCTGGACTCAGGGGCAGAGCTCCCCTGGCCCGCATGAGGCCCTGGGTTCCATCCTCAGCACCACATAAAAATAAATAAATACCTACATAAGTAAAATAGAGGTCTTTTAAAAAATGAGGGGCAAGGGAGACTGGGCCTCTCCCCGGGCTTTCCTGGACGTCACACACTACTACAGTGGCCGGTTGGAGGATGTCCACTTGTTGCCCAGCACCATGCCACACACCCCACTCACCCCACAGGCAGAGGGGTCACAGGTTCCAGGCCAGCCTCAGCAACTTAGCAAGACCCTGTTACAAAATAAAATTTAAAAAGGGCTGGGGACGTGGCTCTGGTAAAGCCACCCTGGTTTATTTCCCATTACCACCAAAAAAAAAAAAATTTTTTTTGTTTTGTTTTTTGTTGTTGTTAATGTGTTTACTGCCTTGATTACGAAATCCACAGGGCAGGGCCGCAGGGGACCTCCCAGCCTCCTTGACCCATTTCCCACATTTCTGTGGGACTAAGCTTAGGGTGGGGACGGGTGGGGCCACACCTAAACCCTCCAGGCTGGGGGCTGGGCTGAAGAGCGCCTCCAGCCGCCTGACCAGGTAGTCTCCAACAAGTGGCCTTCAGGCCTCAGAGCCAGGCCAGCCCCACCCCTGCAGTGTGGTGCCGGGGTGAGCATGGGGACTTCTGGAGAGGCCTAGGCCCTTAGCCTGCGCTGCCAAGACCACCTTCGTAGCCCTCCCACACCAGCACCCTAGACCAGCCTCACCCCTCCTGAGGCCGGGGTGCCCCTGGAGATGCCCAACCCTCCCCCAACTTGGCCACACCTTGTGGGAGTCCAGCCAGCCCAGAGGACTTCCTGCCCCAATACCCTCCAGCCCTCTGAGCAGGGTACTGCCCCCCCCCCCAGGTCCCTGGGAGCAGCAGGGGGGTCAAGTTCAGACCGGTAGCCTTTGCTGGGCACAGATGGTCCGGGAGGTGGACCTGTGGGCAGCAAGGAGTCTGGCTGTCCTCAGAGGGTTGAGTGGAGGTAGCTCAAGACCTGGTGCTGGGCACGACGGCCGGGTCAGTCATCCCAGCAGCCTGGGAGGCCGAGGCCGCAGGATTGCAAGTTCAAGGGCAGCCTGGGCAACCTAGACAGATCCTGCCTCGAAGTCAAGTAGGAAGGGCAGGGCGGGGACTGCACTGCTGGGGAGAGGCTGGGCCCTAGGCTGGGTCTGCAGTACCCAGAGGCTCTTGTGCCTCGGGCTTGGGCTGGTAAGGGGGGGGCTTCAGGTGTGGGGCAGACCCTGGGGGCATGGCTGGGTGGACTCCTGAGAGGCTGTTAGCATTTTCCTACGAGATGTCCCCTAAAAAAGCTGACGTGGACTAGGCCAAAGCAAGGAAGAACATGAAGAACGTGCAGAGGCAGGTGACGTAGCTGAGGCCTGGGTGGCTGGAGGTGTCCCTGGGCCGTTCCTCGTCCCGAGCTGCTTCCCTCCTCCACCCTCCTCCCCTTGGTGTCTTGCCTCATCTGGGCCCAGAGCAAGAGTGGGGCATCTGCGGACTGAGGCCTCCAACACTGAGCCCCAGGCAAGCTGGTCCTCTCCAAGTTGCTCTCGTCTTGGGGTCACAGGGTGAAGAGCTGACTAGGGCAGGAGGTGGAGGCTGCAGGAGCAGGACCCAGGAGGAGGGACAGGTCCCCAGGGCTTCCCAGGAGGGCACTGCTGTCCAGCCCCTCCCTCCCCTCCTGGGCTTGGCTTCCCTCTGCCTCCCCTCCTGCCATGGCCTCCCCCCTCACCTGGGCCCACAGTGACAGTGTCAGCCGACCATGGCCTAAAACCAGGAGCCAAATAAACCTTTCTACCCCAAGTCAGTTTTCTCAGGTATTTTGTTACAGTGACGAAAGCTGCCCAACAAAGGCCCTGAAGAAGGCCTCCCTCAGCCTGCGCTGGGGCCGGACCTAGGGCACCATCACCGCCACACACCATGGGCACATGCAGTCTGTCCTCTGCTGCCAGGGAGAGGCCATCCTGGTGCTGCTCTGTGGGACTCTTCTTTATGGGACCCCAGGGTCTAGCTGCCCTTGTCAAATGCCCCCTCCGATTTCTTGAGCCACACCGTGCACCTGAGCAGCCTTGGCCAGAATCTGCATCTGAGGAGCTCCCAGGACCTGCCCTGAGCCAGCAGCGCTGCAGGGGCACACTCATGGGCTGCGGGCCCACGGCAGGAGGACCCCCAAGCGCAGATCCCTGGCAGAGCCAGCCCTGGACGCTGCCAACGGGGAGAGGCACGGGAACCTGCAGAAGCCTGCAGCCCTGGCCAGTGCTGGGCACGGGCAGCACGGAGCCTGGTGGACACACCTGGGGAAGCGTCGGGGCCAGGAAGCCGGCTGTGGGAAGACAGACTGCTGGACGGGGACGGAGCAGCTGCTGGGTCCGTCTGCTCCAGGAGTCTGAGAGGGTCAAGCAGCTGCAGAGAGATGTTCCCGAACCCTCTGTTGCCGTGCAGTGCCACACCACACGAAGCCCCGACTCACACGCGTGGATTCAGCATGACCAGAGGCCACCTGTTCACTGTGATCCCAGCGGTCACCTCGGCCAGTGCAGGGAGAGTCTCAGCCTCCAGAAGGAGCCCGTCCCCGCAGCCTCCATCCACCATCCCTGCACCCGCGGGTTCACCCCGGTCTCTGGACCCTCCTGACGTGGGGCCACACGCTACGGCCTGTGAGTCTGGCTCTCCCTGAGCACGAGGTCCTCAGGTGGGTTTGTGTGGCAGCTCTGTCACCTCTTCCTGCCCTGGCTGAGGGCTGTCCAGTTGTGTGTGGTCATGCTGTGTCTGCCCAGGCTGGCCGCCCCCGCCTTCTCCGCCCCCTGTAGAGCTCGGTCTGTCTCCAAGCTCCCTCCTCCTGCAGTGAGGACGCAGGTCATTCTGGACCAGGTCCAGGCTGGCCCTGGTGGACTCTGGGGAAGACGGTCTCCCAGCCAGACCTCACTCTGAGCGGTGGGGTCAGACGTCCCCGAGACCCCTGAGCGCGGACCTGCTGGGTCCCCTGCTCTTTCTGGGTGCGACCTTCCAGAAACCCGGGATGTCCTCTGCAGCCCTGGCGGGACTTCCGGTCCCTCCACGTCCTGCCAACGCTGTTGACCAGGTTCCTGCTTCCCCTCGTGTCCTTCTCCTGCCCTGGGACCCGATCAGGACCCCGGGTGTCACCGTCACCACACCCCCTCTGGGCTCCCTGGACGGTGTGGAGAGGAGTGGTGAGGTTTCAGGGCCTGCCCCTCAGCTGGGACTGTCAGTTCTTGTTCTGTGACGAGGTGGGGCCAGGAGGACGCTCCCGGAGGGCCTGTCCTCCGCCCCCTCCAGGTCTGTGCCCTCAACAGGTCCTGGCTGCTGCCCTGGCCTTGGTCCCCTGCCGAGTTGGGGCGTCTCCCTGTCCCCCACTGGAGGGCCAGTGTCCACCTGCCATGGTTTTTGAGGGGTTTGTGGGGCCTGTGGGCAATGCAGGAAGCCTGGGCCTCTGAGGAAGACAGACAATGGACACACGGAGGGGACAGGCCACCACTGGCATCAGGGCCGGAAACAGGCACAGAGAGAAGACAGGAAGGGCTGGGACACCAGCAAGTCCCCAGGAGAAAGGAGTGAACAAGGGAAGAGGGCCGGCCACTCTGGGAGCCCGGCCAGGTGCAGGAGGGACCTAACTGGGCATTGAGATGTGTGGCCGACATGTCCACTGTTGGCCCGGGCACTGCAGTGGGTACTTGGACTCAGGTCTGTGCCATAAGCAGGTCCGCTGGGTGCACACAATGGCAAGCCCCGGCACCGGGCCGTGGGCGGACACCAAGGGAGCTGCTGTGGAAGGTGGTCAGGGCTCGGGGGAAGAGCCGAGGGTGTGGGGCTGCCAGCCAGGCCAGCAGAGCAGGGTGGGAGGACGCGAGCCCGCTGCCAGCTTGCCTTCGCAGCCCTGCAAAATTCATTAAAGGGAGTGTCCCGTAGGGGCAGGGAACATGAGCTGGGCTGAAAGTGATCTGTGGCCATCTGCTTGCTGTGCATCCCCAGGGTCATCCACAGGGGCTTTGGTGGGGACACAGAGGCTGCAGCCCCAGATGCACAAGGAGACCCACCTGGCCTCATCCCTGGCTGCCCGCTCTGTGCGGATTGGGCTCTGGTCAGGCCCACTCTGTCCTTAGCTGCGGACCTTGACTTTTATAACTGACAGGTCTGAGGCCCTCAGTAGAACCAGGAGCCACATGGACACTCGGCCACTGCAAGGGTGCTGGCAGGCCTGCTCGCATCCTGGTGACTGCCTGGGGACCCTGGCCATGCCAGGGACCGTGGCCACTGTTCAACCCAGGGAGATCCTGGCCTGGGTGGGTGGAGACCAGGAAAGCTGCCCAGCTCCCTCCAGCCCGAGACACCACCGAAAAATGACTCAGCCACAGGTCCATGGTCCTCAGGGTGGCCCCACTGTCCCTGAAATCGTGTCCCCGGGTGGGGCCCCACTGCAGTGATTTCTGGAGGAGCCTGGTCTAGAAGGCCCGGGTCCCACAGGAAGCCCAGCGGGTCCCGGGGAGTCCAGGGCAGGGTGAGCGGACACCCCCGGTTTCGTCACAGGCGACACGGGAAACCCGAGACAGTGGCTCTCAGTGGTGACGCCACCATCATCAATAGTTTACAGCAGGTAATGGACACTCGACCTGGGCCTCGGGCTCAGGTGGCCACAGTACAGCGGCCAGCCTGGGGCTGTGTCAGAACAGGAGGGCCCCAAAGACCCAGAAGCCAGCAGGGCACTTTCTGATGGGCCGGGTCTCCGCTGAAGGAGGCCCCCAGGCCTTTCCTGCCCTGGCCAGGGCTGGGGCCTCTGCTCACAGCCAGAGCAGACAGGGCAGAGGCTGGGACGGCGGTCGGTCGGGCAGGGAGCAGAGCCAGCCCTGGCCCTACCTGCTGCACTCCGACCTTTGACCACAGGGAGGGGCCAGGTGCAGGGGCCACGCCTCCTACCTCAGCGACCCAGGGGCCTGCGGGGCTCCCAGGTCCAGGCCAGTCTGGGCCAGGCAGCAAGAAGGCTCCCAAACTGACTCTGGCTGGATGCAGTCCAGTCCAGGATGCACCTGGTTTCACCCCGTCAGCCCAGGGAGACACTCACGAGCACGGGGTGACTCTGACCAAGAGATGTCACGAGGGAGCGCTGCCAGCACTGTGCAGAGGTCAGCGGCCTCAGGACCACCACTGCTGGGCACAGCCTGGCAGCGCCACCCAGGTGAAATGCAGTCACCACCAGGGCCAGCCAGCCCTCCTGGTGGACGCCCGAGTCCAGAACACACAGACATGGTGCACAAGAAGCTGGTCGCCACACCCTTCACCAACACTCGGAAACAGCCCACGTCCACCAACAGGAGGTGGACACCCAGCCTGGCCATGCACACCTGGAGCGTCTTGGCCAGGGCAGGAGCCAAGTGACACTGCGGCGTGGATGGACCTGAGGACCACGTGCTCAGTGACAGCCAGACACACGAGGCCCATTGAGAGGAGAGTAGAAATCGACAGGGACCCACGCGTGCGACGGGGCTTGCTTTTTCCCTGAAGCTTTCATGAATGTGTCTCTCTAGAGGTCACGAATGTTAAATGTCATCGTCACAGCTCCACAGCCCGATGGAAGGGAGCTGAAGGCGCCTGTCAGCAGACACTCAATGTCCCTCTTTCTCTCAGAGTATTTCCTATGGAACGCAAGTTCATCTGCAGAGGTGTGTGTGAGTGTGTGAGTGAATGTGTGAGTGTGCCTGTGTGTGTGAGTGTGTGTCTGTGTGTGTGTGAGTCTGTGTGTGTCTGTGTGTGAGTGTGTGTGTGAGTGTGTGTGTCTGTGTGTGAATGTGTGTGTGAGTGTGTGCCTGTGTGTGAGTGAGTGTGCCTGTGTGTGTGTGCCTGTGTGTCTGTGTGTGTGAGTGAGTGTGCCTGTGTGTGAGTGTGTCTGTGTGTGAGTGAGTGTGCCTGTGTGTCTGTGTGAGTGAGTGTGCCTGTGTGTCTGTGTGTGAGTGAGTGTGCCTGTGTGTCTGTGTGAGTGAGTGTGCCTGTGTGTCTGTGTGTG